TTAGCCATCCTGGCCTCTAAGGAGCACTCTGGCTGCACTTCTAACAAAACAGATTTATTGGTTCTTTTGGCAGCCCATGGCACTTTTAGTATTCTCCTCCAACACCATAACTCAAAGGCTGTAAATAGCATCATGATAAACAGAGAAAATATTGAAGTTATCAAAGACTTTATTTTGCTTAGATCCACAATCAATGCTCATGGAAACAGCGGTCAAGAAATCAAACGACGTATTGCATTAGACGAATCTGCTGCAAAAAAAACTCTTTAAAGTGTTGAAGAACAAAGATGTCACTTTGAGGACTAAGGTGTGCCTGGTCCAAGCCATGTAATGCATGTGAAAGTTAGACAGTGAATAAGGAAGACCGAGGAAGAATTGATGCATTTGAGTTATGGTGTTATGGTGTTGGCAAAGAATATTGAAAGTACCGTAGACAGTCAGAAGAACAAACATGTGTCTTGGGAGAAGTACAGTCAGAATGCTCCTTAGAAGTGAGTCTGGTGAGACTTCCTCTCTTCCAATTTGGACATGTCAGGAGGAAGCAATCCCTGGAGAAGGACATCACCAAGCGAAAAGAGGACGCCCTTCAATGACATGGACTGACACGGTGGCAGCAATAATGGCCTCAAACCCAACAATTGTGAGGAGGATGCAGGACCGGGCGGTGTTTTGTGCAGTTGTGTATAGGGTCACTATGAGTTGGTACCTACTTGATGGCCTCCAACACCAACACCAACACCAACAATGTGTGATGCTGCATTTCAGCAGCCCTTCATTGGCTCTGCAGTCTATGAGATGAGTGAAGCTGAGGTGTTGGTGAGGTGGTGTTTACAGCTCCAACTCTTGCGTCATGTGACCCTTGCCCCTGTGGTTTGGGAGCTTTGAGTGATTGGACCCTGTGCCCATGCTTATAGGACCCTGCCTGCTGGACCTTGACCTGGTCTGTGCCTGCTGGAATCTTACCTGGGCAGTAAATCTCCCTGTGAACACTTTCCCAATACCTCTCAGTGAAGCCCATGACCTTTGCTGTAGCAGCTTGTATGACTCTTTCCCCAGAGACAGGATGGGGGCTTGTCAGTCTCTGTGAGTCCAGGACAATGCTGTCCACACAGCTGGGGGGCTTGGCCATAGGGAGCTGAAGAAGTTGATAAGACTGGGCTTCCGTGGAATCCAGGAAGTTAGCCCAAGGGAGCTCACTGTGTAACTTGTTTGGGGAGACTTGGAGTATCACAGAATCAGGTCCATGACTGACATCTTCTTGGGATCCATGTCACCTGTCACTCGGTGGGAAAAGGAAGTGAAATTGGTACAAC